GCAGGAGAAGCTAAAATAACCTGTTTGACCCATACTTGTTTAAAATTTAAAATTATCCAAAGGACATTAATAATTAACAAGAAAACGTAAGGCAAAATATTATCCCCTTAACAAGGGTCTCTTTTTCTGATCACTATGCTCTGAAGAGAAAGTTATGAATCCTTGTGCTTATATATGTTTGAATATAACTTGGTTACTTGTATTAATTAAATACAGTCTCATGCTTTCAGCCTGTATCCTTTCTAATTGGACATATTGTTAGCCATTAAGGAGATTCCCCCCTTCTTTTTTCTTTTTTTTTTTTTGTTTTTTTGTTTTGTTTTAATCTTATCAACTACTAGGAATATTTTTCCAAAGATTGAACCTAAGAGAGAGTATCTGCATTTTTACCTCTGGAAACACACAAATCAAATTAAGCTGTAAGAGTGAAAGCTGGTATTTCTGGAATCTTGCAGGGCTGGTTTAATTTTGTTATTGCCTGTAATGTGCAGTGCTATTACCTGTGGGCGCTGCAACAAGTTTCAAGGGCACATGGATAAAACACTAAGTTCTGCAGTTGTATCTGGGTGCTGACAATGGAAGGGTTTTTGTGTAACTGAAAGCTTGGTGCTTCTAGTTTTCCCAAGTGTTGGGAAAATACAAAAGGTGTTCATTGTGTTAAGAAGAATTCAAATAGTCCTCAAAAAGTAGAGTTATTTATTAATGTATCTATCTGGTTCTTTTTAGAATTCCATCAGTGGCGAGAGATATCGATGATAAATCCCACGATGGCCATGAACCCTTTATTGACAGCATCCGGGCAGCAAAGGATCTCACTGTTTCCCTCACCATTTGAACCTCTGCCTGTGGATAGGTATTTATTTCCAACATAATATTATGGTCAAAGGAGAACATGGATAATCATTTGCCACAACCTTTTGCAGCGAGGATTCAGGATCTAGAGAAGGGACTGCGCACAAATGAATGCACTAGACGAGAAATATGAATTTAGAAGGCATGGGGGGCCAGGCAGAAACCTTTCTCTAATGGAGAGGCTCCCTGACTTCTCTTCCCGTTTGCTTTTATTCACTTGAATACACATTTGCCCTTTAGGAATGCATACAGGCATATCAAAGGTAAAGTTTGGTAAACAGTAAAAGGATTATCACGTTAGGGGATTGCGTGAGCCATTTGGCCAACAGCAGGGCAATATTATGCTGATTTTCAGCCCTGATGAATATCGCATTAATATGTTAACTACTGTTGGTCTTAGCCTCTGGCAATCATTAAGTTTTTTGGATGATTTTAACCTCAGTGTTGTTTTAAGGTCTAATGTTACTTCAGTGAACAGTGGTGCAATAATTCATGTCAAGATACTCTGCTGACTGTACCTTCAACACACTTCCCATCATTTCCCCTGTGAGGCCTGCTTGACATATTCAGCAAATAGCTAACAAGCACTTTTACCATGTGACAAGCATTGTGCAGGTACGAACATTGGTAGAGTCTATGAGAGCTACCATAACAAAATATCACAGGCAAGGTGGTTTCAACAACAAAAATCTATTTCTCCCAGTTCTAGAAGCTGAACGCCCTAGATCAAGGTGGCGACAGGGTTGATTTCTGGTGAGACCTCTCTCCTTTGGCCTGCAGACAGCTGCCTTCTTGCTATGTCCTCACATGGCATTTTTCTCTGTACTTGTGGACTCCTGGTATCTCTTCCTCTTCTTATAAGGACAGCAGTCCTGTTAGATTAGGGCTTCACACTTTTGCCCTCATTTAAACTTTTAATTACCCCATTAAAAGCCTTATCTCTAAATACAGTCACATTGTGGAGTAGGACTTCAGCATATGGATTTAGGGGACACAATTTAGTTCATAATAATTAGATACCCTGGGTTTCCTGTGATAGAACAAATCTTCCTATTCAATAAAAGTGACAGTATCAATATTTATGTAGCACACTTTGGCAGTTTCTTATTTTACCTTCTTTAGAATATTTTGACATTCTGAAGAGAGAGTGAACATCTATTATTTATTTCTGTTCATGAAGCAGAAACAATACATTTGGCTTCAAAGAGCACTGAAGTTTGGCAAAATAATTAAATTATTTACCCAGGAAATCAAACTTTGGTTCCAAATGTCAGAACCCAAGTCAAATATCTCCAGTAAATGAGAAAAGAATGTTGTGGTCAGAACAGTATGTTGGGGTGGCTCAAACCCAAGACATGGCCTCTCATCGTCCGCCCAGACAACATTAGCTCAGCACCCATTCAAGCTTCTCCACAAACTATTGGACCCTGGGCTCCATGCAGTCACCCAACCACCAGCCAGGCTGGCCAGCAGCATGGTGGGCATCTATGCTGGCCCTGGGCGCTTGGGCTCCTGGATCTCTGTGTCCCTCTCCATGAGCATGCAGGGTAGCTGGGGGTCGGGGACATGGTGGGAATAGGGGGCATCCAAGCAAGAAGGAGACTATGCAATGCTTGAATGACCACTTGGCCTCCTACCTGGAAAGGATGAGGATCCCGGAAGTTGATAATTGGAAGCTAGAGAGCAAAATCCAGAAACATTTGGAGAAAAAGGGACTCTGGGTTAGAGACTATCAAGGATGTGAGGGCTCAGATCTTTGCAACTTCTGTGGACAGACAATGCCAGCCTTGCTGCTGATGACTTCAGAGTCAAGTATGAGACAGAGCTAGCCATGTGCCAGTCTGTGGAGAATGACATCAATGGGCTTTGAAAGGTCACTGATAATATCATTGTCACTTGGCTACAGCTGGAGACAAGACAGAGATCGAGACTCTCAAGGAGTAGCTGCTCTTTATGAAGAAAGAACACTGGAAGGAAGCAAATGGTCTACGAAATCAGATTACCAACTCTGGGTTGACTATGGAGTTGGATGCTCCCATATCTCAGGACCTCAGCAAGATCATGGTGGACATCTGGACCCACTATGACCAGATGGTTCAGAAGAACTGAGAGATCGAGACAAGTACTGGTCCCAGCAGATTGAAGAGAGCACCACAGTGGTCACCTTGCAGACCACTGAGATAGGAGTTCCTGAGATGACACTCATAGAGCTGAGACATACAACCCAGTCCTTGAACTCTATGAGAAATTTGAAGGCCACCTCAGAGAACAGCCTGAGGGAAGTAGAGACATGCTACACCATGCAAATGGAAAAGCTCAATAGGATTCTGCTGTAGCTGGAGTCAGAGCTGGCCCATACCTGGACAGAGGGGCAGCCCAGCCCTAGGAGTATAAGATTCTGCTGAACATCAAGGTCAAGCTGGACGCTGAGATAACCATCTACCACCCTCTTGCTGGAAGAAGGGAAAACTTTGATCCTGATAACACCCTGGCCAACAGCAACTCCACACAATCCATCCAAAAGACCATCACCCACAGGATTGTGGGTGGCAAAGTGGTGTCTAAGGTCAATAACACCAAAGTTTTGAGGTGTCAAGCCAGCAGAAGCAGGGAACTCCTTGGCAGTGGAAAAAAAAGGATGGGGGGGGGGGAGAAGGCCAATAAAAAGTTCAGAGATTGTTAAACATTTTTTTTTAAAAAAAAGGAATACTATATTGGTCATGGAAAGTCAAATCTTTTCTTTCTGACATCCCTAAAATTTTTCTTTCCTATTTTTTCTGTTGTTGTCAGTTGGGCCAATTCTTCCTTAGTGGAGTCCTTCCTCCAATCTTCCTTACCCTATTTCTACTTAAACCAATAGAGAGTACAGGACTTCTGTACCTCATTTTGGGAAGAGATGATAGAATCCAATATGGCGATAAAATAAAATCTCATTGCTTCTGCAATGGAAATTTTGTACAGTTACATCCTCATTTTTATCTATTTCATATTTTTTTCCCCTAGAGATGTATTGCCTTCCACTGTGGCTCCAACTGACCCAAGACAGTTTTGTGTTCCATACCAATTTGGATCCTCTGTTCAACCAAATGCAAATATGCCGAACATGATGCCCAATCGTGTCTACTCAGGTATGAGCAATCGATGGCTCTCATCTATGGAGCCGCTGTGAACTGGAGGCTGCAGTGTGTAGCAGTTATACTTGGAGTTTCTGCAGTTACTACTTATATTTAAATTATGGTTCCACCACTGGGTGACCAAGTAGAAGTTGCTTCACTTCTCCAACTATCAATTTACTGATGAATAACATTGAAACTCTGCAATATTACTATCTGTCTTACATATAAGAAACTGATGAGGTCATGAGGAGATGAGATCTGAGAATTAAAGGGGCTTAGGGAAGTTTATATGTGACCTAATAGGCCATAGTGAGGACTTGCCTCTTAATCTGAGTAAGAGCGGGTAACTTTTGATGAGTTTGAACAAGGTTGTTACATGGTCTGACTTAGATTTTACCAGGATCACTCTGGCTGCTGTTTGGGGTCAAATTTAACAGGACAAAGTTCTGGGAATAAATTGATGGGAGTAAATGGGTTATTAGAATAGTTGAAAGATTATGATGGATTGGCCCTAGGTGGTGACAGTAGGAATAGTAATAGTGGTTGGATTCTGTAATTATTTTGAAGGTAAACAGCAGGATTTTCTCACAGTTTAGATATGAGAGATGAGATGAGTGACATAAATAATTTTAGTCTGAGTAATTAGAAAGGTGATGTTGTTATATACTGATTTGAGGAATACTGTGAGAGGAAGAGTTCTTGGGGCAGAAGAGGTATCATAGGCTCAGTTTTGTTCATATTACAATTGAAATCCCTAATAGATAATCAATGAGAGGTGTCAGGAAGGCAGCTGAAGTCCAGGGAGGACTTCTGGAGACACTGCAATATAACTTTGGAAGTTATCAGCATACATAAGTGTAGATTAGATCATCATCCAAATGTGAATGTGGATAGACATTAAAAGAATCATCCCTGGGACATACCAGGAGGGTTGAGAAGCTGTGGAGAAACAAGCAAGAGAGAGATAGAAGGAGCAAGCAGTGAGTGGGAAGAAACCCAGGAGAGTATAGAAGCCTGGAAGAAAAAGGAATAGATTTTTTTGAAATATATATTTTATTGATTTTTTACAGAAAGGAAGGGAGAGAGATAGAGAGCCAGAAACATTGATGAGAGAGAAACATCGATCAGCCGCCTCCTGCACACCTCCCACTGGGGATGTGCCCGCAACCAACGTACATGCCCTTGACTGGAATTGAAACTGGGACCTTTCAGTCCGAAGGCCTACGCTCTATCCACTGAGCCAAACCGGTTACGGCAGGAATAAATTTTTAAGGAGAAATTGAGCAACTGTCTCAAGTATGCCACTCATAGATCAAGTAGAGGAAAACTTAAGACTATATGAATAGATTTGGCTATGTGGAGGTCATTGGTTGTCTTGATAAGAGCTATTTTAGTAGTGTGGTAGCAGTGAAAACATGACTGGTAGGGGCAAGAAAGACTAGGAGGTGAGAATTTCCTCACCATATTGAAGATCAAACTGATGCATCTTATCTCCCCAAAACTATATTCGCGAGTTTCCGGTTGTCTCTGCTTCCCAACTCCAATAAGTCTTAATAGATACAATGGAGTGAAAAGCCCAACCCAGAAAAGAAATATGATTGCTATCAGGGCCAGTGAAACACTGGCCTGCCTGGATCTGAGCTACCACAATGGGTCCACTGCAGTGAGACTGGGTGTCTGAACAAGGACCAGATATGAAACTAGACATCCACACTGGAGTGGCCCAAGGACCAAAAGAGAGCTGATTCTGGATGCAAGTCCCGTCTGGCAGCAAGAACCCAGTAAATAGTAAAGCCATGGCTACACACAACAGATAAATAGACCACAAACTTAGAGTGTCCTTAGAGACAAAGAATTCAGAAACTGCCAATATTTGGATACAAACAGGCAGGTTGATCATCTGTCCCAAGGCCATAGGTCAGGTCCCCACCTCAAGGCTGATGTTTGGGAAATAAGCACAGGTAAGGTAGGCCCTCGGTCCTATAGAAACTGAGCTTCTAAGTCAGTTAGCAAAATAGAAATTAAGACAGGGGTCTATTTCAAAAATAGGGATGTTAGATAGGGGGTGGGTTATTGCAGCTAGACTAGCACTAAGTTTGAGGTCACTTATTTGGGAAAAAGAAATAAAGTTGGAATAGGTTTGATGAGTCCAGATTTCAAAAGGTCCTAAAATGTAGGTCATTAGAATTGTGCTCTCTACTCTGGACTTCTCACACGGACTTTCTCTGCATCCTTGGGCAGTACACCATGCGCTGGGCACTCTCATGCATGTCAGCCAGCTAATGGAGAATATCTTAAAGCCACTCAACTATAAAAATATAGAGCTTTAGAGTGAGAGGGACTTTTAGAGATCACCTCATCTAACCTCTGATTTTTTAAAATGACAAGAACCTCAAAAAAGATATAAGGTGCTTTATCTCAAGATAAGTTGTTATTAATCGTTGAATGGGCTCTACCAGCTCAATACTGAACAAGTATAAGGAGATACTTATCCTCCTTTTGGGGAGAACAGATTTACACAAGTAAAAATATAGCTGAACAAAGCTATGTATAATAAATGCAATTTGTGTATTTATTATTATTAGAATGTACTCTGTGGATCTGTGCTGGTTTGTGAAGTGTTGGTACAAATAAATGTATAAATGGAGAGTAAGGGCTTAGAAACTTTCATGGCAATTTGAAGGGTAATTTTATGTCTATTATTCTAATGATTTAAAAAAATTTTGCTTGTATTTATTCTTATCTTTATTTCCATTTTCTAAAACATCATTTTATTGTATTTTTAAAAAGGATTGGTACATGATGGATTGAAAATTTAAAAAGAAAAGAATTATCTCACCATAGATGGTTTGAGAAACACAAGTATAGATGCTAGGTATATTAGGAGTGCAGATAAAGAAAAATCAATATAGTGTTATGTTACTAGTCAAGAATAGAGCCTTGAATTCTGATTATGCTGTCATTATTTCCAGACATTTTAGTAGGTTGACACAAAGTATACAGTTGCTACCCCACTCCATTGAAATTGTTCAGAAAAAAGTATTTTCCTCAGATGCACCAGAATGTCCAGATAGAGAACTATATATTTCATCCTCTTAACTCATGCATTTATTTTCAGGGATTTTAGTGCAACAAGAAGCACTTAGTTACATTTTTTTAAAGGTCAACTAATTCCTTTTGTACCAAAGGGGGGCGGGGGGAAAGCTATCAATTTTTACTTTGAAAGCAAGAGATCAAGAGATCCACAGCTTACTTTATATTTTTCCTTCTGAGGGCAGGAAATGTCCCCAATCATAGACCAACCTTAAAGAAAAAAAAGTATCTAGTGTTATCATGATGCCCTCACCAACATGACTCTAAGATGCTGACTTGCAATGTTACTGTTTCCAACATTGTGCTCAACTAGTGGTTTTGCAAATACTATTTTAATCATTATACTTTATTTTATTATTTTCAAATGGATGTTATTAATTTGTTTGTGGAGTGGGATGTTGATTTTCTTTCTTAAGGTTGGGGCATTTTACCACCTGAATCCTTAAAAGCAATGGCCAGGAAGAATGAAATGATTCAAAGGCAGCATGCTGCCAGGTAATGTAACAGTGTTGCTTTATTTATTTTCTATTCATTCACTTGTTTGTTTATTCATTTGTTTTAGATAGGTAAATAGATATAATTATATATATTTTTATATATACATTCATTCATTTATTATATTTGTATATTGTTGTATTTTTGTATGTTGTTATATGTGTATATATATTTATATACATTCTGAATGAATATATGTATATATCTATGTATACATCTCTCGATGTAGATATATATATATATATACACACACACACACACACACACACACACACACACACACATACACACAGAGTGTGTGTGTGTGTATCTATCTATCTATTTATTTATCTATATAGATAGATAGATATACACACACACTGGTTGGTTAAAAATAAAAGCAAGATTAGAAATTACATAGTGAACCTAAGTTTACAGACCATAATAGTTTGTCAATGTCCCATAAATAAAATGCCTGGCAGTGATTCCTCTGAAATTCGTACTGGCATTTTTTACTTAAATGACTTAAATTCTGCTCAAAGATAGAAGCCAAGTTTGCCACTCCTATTTCAGACATCAGCAGAGCCCAGGCAGCCCCCCCATGTCAGCCATGCAGTGCCCTTTAGTTGAAGCTACCAGGAGAAAGGAACTATAACAGTGATGACTAGGGTATGGCTGTGGGGAAAGGGTCAATTTTCTTACCACTGTACCTAACGGATCCAGATGATGACCAATAAGCCAAGTAAAGTAAGCAAAACACCAAGTCCGCCCACCCTCCTCCACCCCAACCCCTGTTACTTGCAGTAACTTGTAACTGTTGAGACTTGCATTGACTTACTGGTTCTTGAGTCCCACTAAAATTGTATGGCAGGTTTAAAAACTTCTTCCAGAACTTTAGTTCCTTTGAGGATTAATCTCTGGCAAGAAACTGTCCTGTGCTGCATTATTAATTTATAGTAGAAATGCATATAGATGTAACAGGCCAACTTGTTAAATTTGTCAGATCTATTAGAGTAAGTCTCTACAGACTGGCCTTGGACTACCATTGTGAGAGTCAGCCATGCCCTTCACCCTCAGGTCTTACCCCAAACTCTCTTCTCAGTGGCTTTATGGGGGATTTGTGTTTCCATGCAACAAACTTCAGATAGTGTGAAGATTCACAAGAAAAACAGAGGTGCTAGGGAAGGCAGAGGGCCATTAAAATTATATTTCTTTAAAAATTTTTTGAATTTGTTGGGGTGACACTGGTTAATAAAATTATATAGGTTTCAATTCTATATGATACGTGATCTGTATATTGTATTGTGTGTTCACCACCCAAAGTCAAGTCTCTTTCCATCACCATAAAATTCTATTTCTAATGGTTTTCTTGGGTTGTATAAAATACATTGTTTTGTTTTAGGATGGAAATGGAAATGCATGCCATTTACCAGCAAAGGAGAATAGACAAAATAAATCCCAAAGGATTTGCAGGCCTGAGGGTACCATTCCCCTATGGCTCCAGTATCCCCAGTGGCCCAGCCACCTGCCATGGCAGGAGCATGCTCCCTGCCGGTGACCTGCACTTGCACAGACGCTCCCTGAGAAGTGTTCATGGGAACCCCATGCTAGTGGCAACTGGTCCACGCTATCTAGAGGGGTGGGGGCAGAAATGTCGTCGTCTCAGGAGAGGTATGGGGAATCAGAAAGTTCTAGACAGTGATATTGAGAGTTCCAAAAGTCAAGCAGAAGAAATATCCATAGGCCAGGTTCATGTGATTCCCTATGAAGAGGATGAGTATGCAAAAGACCCAGAAACGGAAGCTCTCAACAACCAGAAGTCAAGCGAAGTCAACGAAAAGCCAACTGCAGTTCTTGCCAACACCTGTGGAGAGTTGGAGCCCACCCACAGAGAACCCTGGGGAGCTCCTGACGCTCCCATGGAAGCCAAGGCCTGGGATGGTGGGAGAGAGGAGGTTGCAGCCTGTGGTGAAAAGAATGGGGTTTACCCTCCAGTTCCTCAACCATCTTTGCCAGGTGGGTATCCAGGGAGCAAGGTCAATGGCAGATTCTCATGAACCACAGATCCTCAAGTCCTTACGTAACTACATAGTGAATTAAAACCATCATGCTTCTTTTTATCCTTTATTTTCTTAATCCCATTTAGACTGACCTCTTTTTGAAATCATTTTATTACTTAGTTCCAAGAAGCCAGACTGGTGAAACTAACCTCTTTCTATATAGCTATGTAGAGAATTTACAGCAAAGGTTAGGTGGTCAAGTATGAGGAAGATGGGGCAACCTACCAGAATTTTTCATCAAAAAGTTAATTTAATTTGCTGTTAATTTCTTCAGCAAATTGCTTAAAAGTATAAATTCTATCTGTATTGAACTGTAAAACAATAGACAAACAGACGCATTCACTTTCAGTGCCCATTACTGTTAATGATACCTTCTGACCTAAAAATATAAATACACTTCTCCCCTCCAAACACTAAAGTTCTAGTTTTCTAGAACTTCTTTAGATAAAAATACTTTAAAATACAGGAATTGGAGGGGGAGGCGATCGTGATCTAACCACCAGACCAACTGCTTCCTTACAAAGTGTGAATTTGCCATTTTGACTAAATCCCCGCATTGCCTGGAGAGCGTGACAAATCACAAAACGTCATAGGCCATGGTGGTGTTAGTCTCCAGAATGAAATCACGGGGCATTTCGATTGGAATCTGAGGGAAGCTGCTCTGGAACTTCTTTGTTTACTTAAGATAATGTTGTCATTAAAGAGCTTTTAGACTTGCAGGGGTAGAGAACCTTCTTTCTGCCAAGGTCATTTTGATATTTATAACATTATTCGAGGGCCACACAAAATTATCAACTTAAAAATTAGCCTGCTATATTTGGTCAAACTTTATTTTCTAATTTTTATTGTTGAAAGTATTACATATGTCCCCTGTTGCCCCCCCATCGAACTCTTCTAGCCCACCCAAGTCACTGCTAATGTCTTGGCAGGGCCAGACCAAATGATTTCGTGGGCCTTATATGGCCCTCGGACTGGACGTTCCCCATCCCTGTTCAGAGGAAGAAAAGAAAAGAGTCAGCTAAGCTTTTTAGAAAACACCTCTCAATAACTCTTAATATTCTTGAAGGAGTTTACATGTAGATCTCTAAAAAAGGCTCACTTTGTGGCAATAAAATATGAGGAAATTAATGTAACTGTACATAAAACAGTGCTCTTAGTGTCCTCCTTTCCCCTGGAAATTTTGTACCACCCAATAATCGTCTTTCCATTTTAAAGGAACACATGTACTGGTTACAAGAGGGGAGACTCTGTCTTTGGATGCGGATATTCAGAAGTGGACCGTGAGTGATGTGCACAGCTTCATCCGTGGCCTTCCGGGTTGTTCAGACTATGCTCAGGTGACCTACATTTAAGAATTTTCCTAGACGTAAGATACTTTGAAATATATTTCCTCTGTAATGAGTTGTCAAACTTGCACTATGCCCCCAGAGATGATTTCTAATAATCTCCCCCCTTTTTAGGCATTGGCTATTCTGGCGCAGGAGCCTCTGTTCGGTGTAGGGGTGGTCCCATGCCCACACCCCAGCTGGCAAAAGGCAAAGCCCTTTTCTAGCTTTAGTTTCTGTTCCACCAAGACTCCTGAGAGGTGGGAATTCTCCCCAAATTAGGAGATTCAGAGACCAAAGATCGAAAAAGAATGAGAAATGTCTAGTACCTTCCCTACTCCTCCATAAACAAATATCTTAGGGACACATACTTCTGTACCAGAAGTTTTAGGCTCTTCATAATAGGTAACAGAAATACATACTTCATTTTAAAAAGGACAAGACGGCAACAGATCTGAAAAGCTGGAGATTAACTGTTCTTAAATTCCATATTCATGCTAGGACAATATACAAAATTGCAAAGATAAATACTACCTTCTTAAAAATTCCATTAATTAATACTTTAAGCAATAAAAAAATAAATAAATAAATAAAAATTCCATTAATATCAGGCTAGTTGGAATGAAGAGTACTCTCATTCATATGGGAAAATTGGTGACAAAGATCATGGGTTGGCAAGTTTTTGAAGTTTATGTCAATGCTACATATTCATGCATATGGTTTACTTTTTCAAGTGATTTAACAACACAATTTCAAGCAACAATGTGCCTATTAAATCATGTACCATTGTCTTAATATATATGTTTATGTATTAAAGGAAAAAAAGCAAGAAAAGGACATTATGAGTTAACAACATCCTAATTAACTGATGTTAGAGATCATTTTTTTTCAGTTCTTAGTGTGGGAATATTTTTCTTCATGTAATGCTATTAAGTGTTTTTCTTTTTTTTATTTTGTTTATGAGACTTATGAAAAAGTTATATGGAATAGTAATTAAGAGTGTACTTATGAAACCAGAAAGTATAAGTTCAAATCCTGGCTTTTCCACTTTCTGGACATGTGATCTAGGATAATTTTCCTCTCTCTTCTCTGTGTCTCAGTTTTTTCATCTGTAAAATGGGGATAGTATAATATGAATGTTGTAAATAATATAAAAGGAATATAAAGAGTGCCTGGCACTTTGTCAATACTCAGTAAGTGCTAATTTCATCATTATATCAGCCAGAAACAAGCAACTTCCTATATAATGTACATGTGATTGCTGACTTTTTTTTTATGGCTGACTTCTGATGGATTGAATCTGTTTGAACTCTCATTATTATTAATCCATCAGTGATCCAATCATAAAAGTTTTGTTTATGTCCAGCTGGTGTGGCTCAGGGGTTGAGTGTCGACCAATGAACCAGGAAGTCACAGTTCAATTCCCTGTCAGGGCATATGCCCAGGCTAAGGGCTTGATGCCAAGGTTAAGGGCTCGATCCCCATTGGGGGATGTGCAGGAGGCAGCTCATCAATGATTCTCTCCTATCATTGATGTTTCTATCTATCACTCCCTTTCCCTTCTTCTCTGAGAT